TGGAGAAGTGTATTCTGCTGCTTTCAGATAGAATGTCTCTCCGGTCTAATGTGTTATATAAGGCTGTATTTCCTTATTAATTTTCTGTCTGGATGATCTGTTCATTGGTGTCAGTGGGGTGTTAAAATGTCCCATTATTGTATTACTGCCAATTTCCCCTATTATGGCTGCTAGGATTTGCCTTATATAGGTGCTCCTATGTTGGATACATATTTATAATTTTTATGCCTTCTTCTTTCATTGATATCTTGATCACTACATACTTTCTTTGTCTCTTGTAACAGTCTTTATCTTAAAGTTTATTTTGTCTGATATGAATATTGCTACTCCAGCTTTCTTTTGATTTCTATTTGCACAGGATATCTTTTCACATTCTTTCACTTTCAGAGTGTATGTGTTCCTAGATCTGAAGTGGGTGTCTTGTGGACACCATATATACAGGTCTTGTTTTTTATATATATTCTGCCAGTCTGTGTCTTTTATGGAGCATGAAATTCATTTAAATTTAGCATGAACATCAATACATCTGTTAATTTCAAATCAATATCTATTTTCATTTCCTTAACTGTTTAGGGTTTGTTTTTGTAGGTCATTTTTTCTTCTCTTCCTGTTTTGTTCTCTTTTGGCTCATCTTTGGTGTTGTATTTGTGTTACTTTTTCTTTTATGTGTGTGTATCTATTGTAGTCTTTGGGGAGGTTCCATTTCCTATGAAGTTTTATATATATATATATATATATATATATATATATAGTTGCTTTGAGTTGCTGGTCTCTTCATTTCAAATGCAGTTCCCATTTCCTGCGTTTGTACTCTCCTCCTCACATGGTTCCTGGTTTTGGTATCATATTCATGTATGGATGATTTCTATCTTTTACTGTATGCTTGTTTTAACTGGGTTTCATTGAGCTTAAGAGTTAGCAGGACTGTGTTTCTTCTGGAGGTTCTGGGGGGAGAATCTGCTTCCTTGCCTTTCCCAGTTTTTAGAGGCCACCTGTATTCCTTGGTTTGTATCCTCTTCATCTGCAAAGCCATCAACATTGCATCTTCAATTGTTTCTCTGACCCTCTTTTACCTTTTAAAGACACTTGTAATTACATTGGGGCTACCTGGATAATCTAGAATCACCTTCCAAACTTAAACTCCTTAACTTAATCACATCACCATCCCCAAGTCCCTTTTTGCACATAAGGTAATAGATTCACCTTTGCAAGGGGCCATTATCTTGCCTGCCACATCCATCTTCCTGGAAACGTAAGACCACTTGTCTCCCATATTTGCACATATACAGCCCAACATACACAGCATACAGAAACGGGCACCCTCTGGTTGAAGCTGGCGGGGACCTAGGACTCCTTAACTCCCTAAGGTAACAACATTTGTGAATATCATTAGCAGTTATACCTAAAGCCCCCTACCACACTGATGTTTTAGGGCCCTAGAATTCTATTTGCCGCCTTAGAACTGAAGCTGTGCAAGTACAGTCATCCCTCAGTATTCATAGGGGATTGGTTACAAGTACCTTGTAGATATCAAAACCAGTGCATGCTCAAGTCCCTTTTATAAAATGGGGCAGTATTTGCATATAATCTATGCACATCCTCCTGTATACTTTAAATCATCTCTAGATTATTTGTAATGTTTAATACAGTGTAAATGCTATGTAAATAGTTGCCAGGATGCAGCAAATTAAATGTCAGCTTTTTGGAACTTTCAGAATTTTTTCAAATATTTTCAATCCACAATTGATTGAATCAGAGGATGTAGACTTCATAAATACAGAGAATCAAATGTATCTCCTCTTCCCATTGCATGTGTGACCTCCCTCAGGCCCCTGGTGGAAATAGCAGGGGAAAGATCTAGTGTAGTGATTAAGAGCACAGGCTCATGAACTAGATTGCCTATGTTCATATCCTGGCTCTATTACTTCTATCTGCAACCTTGCAGAAATTAACTCATGTTATTGGGCCTCCATTTCTTTATCTGTAAAACAGGATAAAACAGTATATTCTCAGAGCATTGGTTCCCAAATTTGTCTGTATTTTGGAATAATCAAATATATAGATGTCTGTGTTCCACTACTAGAGATTATAATTTGATCTGAGGAAGTGGTCTAGGCTTTGAAATCTTTAAGATTCTAATATGCAAACAAGTATGAGAGCCACTGCTTCAAAGGGTTGTTGTAAGGATTTAAAACTCACAGAATACATAACTTGCTTTTCCTTGTACATGTTGGCTCACCAAGAAGGGAGCTGGTAAGTGAGAGTACGCCAGGTCCAAGACAACCTAGAAGGCATATCTGAGTCTCAGTTTCCTCATCTGTAAAACTGGGACAACCATAGCAAGGCTACAAAATTGACATGTTTTATAAACCATAAAGTACTGCCCAACAGCTTTTGTACATACATATATTCTCCATTCTCACTTCATACTCCACTTTCCACTATCTTCTGCAACAGGGTTCAACTCAAGGTGATTTCTCTGACCTTCACTGACACTACAAGAAGTGAGGGTAGTAGGAAGTGAGCACGCTTGGAGGCATTCCTGACAAGGAAGCAGGAAAGGGCCTGACCATCCCAGGAGGAGTCCAGAGATATAAACCACTCCTTACAAGCAGACCCAGAGCCAAACAAACCCAGGAGAATTACATGGTCAATGCAGGGCCCATCTACATCAGAAAAATTGGCCTAGGACTATGGAAAGGGCACAGGCTACTAATTAATACAGTCCTGTGTCCTTGGGCATTATTCTACTCTTCTATTTTTTCAAGTTCATTCCTTCCTCTATAAAACGAGGATGGATAGTCAGATCCACTCCCAATAGGACTGAAGTGAGAATGAAGAGACCAGCGATAGAAAAGTGGTTCACAGAGTGGAAATTACATTAAAGTATATTACAGTCATCCACTGATGCCACAAAGAAAGATTAAGTCATAGTGAAGTCTTCCTAAATTTTATTGGCACTGAAATAGAACATGGGTTAAGCATAAACCCCTCCAAAAACAAATTTAAAAAACCCCCAAAAGATGCACAAAAAAAACCTGAATATAAAATCTAATCTTTCTCCCCAACTTCCCCTGGCGGGGAGTGAAGTGGTGGTGTGGTGGATACTACCTTTAAGGCAGCTGGATTGCCCCATAATTCCAGGTTTGAATTTAGCAAATATAGGGCACATCACCAACAGAGTGTCAATATAATACACAGCAATGCACATAAGACTTCCCAAGGTCAAGCAGAAGGCAAGGGGATGGAGGGATCAAAGCCATGGGCTCTGGGCTAGGGGCACTGCATGGAAGGACAGTAGAGCCCCTTTGTGGAATGAACTTTGAGAATAAGGCAGGAAAAAAAGGGGAACAATAAAACCAAATACCAAGTACTTTTAAAAAGGATTGTATGACCTACAGTGACAGATGATATCACTAATACTGAAAGCTTCTTACATTAATTTTTCTGGCAAAATATGCTTCCTAGGTGTAGGGGTGGTAAAGGAATGAGGCCAAAATGATCCTGTCCCAAGACTAGTATCTTCTAAGGGTGCATTAGCAAGAAATGCAGAAATCAATGTTGAGTTAGATGCCACTAAAATATATAACACTGGTAGAAAGAAAAAGAGCACACATGAGACAGAGAGGAAGAGGATGCTGCTCCTGGGTTGAGAGAAAGAGGTGGGGGCGTGAAAGGGACCAGACCAGAACCCCTAAAAGCTCTCTGGTTTACAGCTCCAAGGGATAGCACATCTGGTGGCAAGATCTGGGTTAAAGGTTTATTAAACAGAGGCAGGACCCAATCATCACCTTAGAGAGGGGTGATGGGAAGGGGCTATTAAGCACCTTGTAGGGCTCAAAGTAAACTGTAGGATCTGGGCCACAAGTTTCTCTCACCACACTTGGCTTCTTCCACACACTCACCAATTGAGCCAACTGACATCAAGATCCAGGACTCACCAAACCAAGGCCTTAATGACCCTAAAGCAGAAGTTGTGGCCCAACTAGCCCTGAAGGGAGAAGTGGTTTGGGACCCCTAGAGGTGAAAATACTGAAGCCACATGTGAATATTTCCTCCTCTAGGCAAGAGTCCTAGATGTGGCTGGCTGGGTTTGGGAATAACCATCCCTAGTCTTCTACCTGAGGGGATTTGTGGATTGGAGTGGGGAAGGGCAGGTCCCAAGAAGGGAAAAGGAACACAGGATAATAAGTAAGAGATATCTCTGCCCATAGAGCTCACCTGAAATAAGCCTAGGCTCCCATAAAACATAGAGGCATATTCTCTACCCAATCATGTCTGAACAGAAGGGCTAACAGTCTTCCAGGATGCTGGGGAAGCCTCTTGAAGGCATATTCTCCCCCATATCACGCTGAAGAGAAGAATGAGTGTCTGAATTCAGGGACAAGGCTTATTGGGACTGAGTTTGTAACAGGCCCAATCTGGGAGGTAGAGAGAAGAATGACTGCACATCTTTTTAGCCTCCAATCATTACAAAGCCTAAGTAACTCTGGAAGGAATGGGCATTGGGAGTCCTAATCCTAGGGCAGTTGACACTCTAGAGCATGTAGCCAGGGCCCTGCCTTCATCTCTAAACCTGTGATGCTTCAATTCTGCAAATCACAAGACCATGATGATGAAGGCTGTGGTGGGGCAGGGGTGAGGGCCAGTTTTCAACCTACTCTACACTTGACTCCTGCAGAGCAGCATTAAATGTGAGGGTATTTCCCAAACCAAGTGGGAAGTGCCTCTGAGCTGAGAAAGTGTTCTCTTCTAGCAAGCCAGATCATCCAGGACAGAGGAAAAAGAGGATCTCATTGGCACCATAGTGACCATCTCTCTGCCTAGGGAAGTGAGTAAGGATTGAGGGGCTAGGTTTGGTCCCATGGTTGCACTGAATGCTTGGCGTGACTTCAGGGCTGCTCTAGTTAATGGCTCCAGCACAGTGTGAGTTAGGCAAGAGTATAAGAGTGTGAGAGCAAGGAAGAAGGGAGGAGGGGTCCCTAGGGGCTAGGTGCCCTTTACATAGATTCAAACTCATCAATGCGTTGCTTAGTATTGCCCTGCCGGATCTGGCGCAGGGTCTTGTATTTGTCTCGACCCAGTCGCATGTTCTCAGCATGAATCATGTCATTAGCAGTCTTCTTGGACTCATCACGGGCATTGGCCAGCTCTGAACTGAGGGCCTGTGAAGGTGCAAGGGGATAAAGGGTTAATGGCTTCCTCCAATTTTACCTCCCCTTATTAACCAAATGTATTTCCTGATTTATCCCATCCCACCCCTCTCCCTCACCTTTCTCTCTCCCCTCCCACTCCACTCCTGCTGCCCCCACCCTTTATACACACAAACACACACACACATATTTTTTGAGAGCCATTTCCAGCCCTGTTAGAATTGCAGTGGGGCAAGAATAAAACAAAAGACACCAACTGAGTGGATCAATTGATGACAGGTATTCTCTGTGAGCAGAGTAATACATCAAAAATTCAGATAGGAATTGTGTCAACTAAATATTTTCTGAATATAAGAGGTAAATGGAATATGGATGGAGGACAGAAAAAAAAAAGGAGGGGGAAAAGGTAGTTCAGAGTCTGATTTATAAGTGAGAGATCCCTCCATTAAAGCCCTCACACAGCAATGAGACAGGTTCTTCTCCTTCTCCCCTACCCCAATGATCTAGTGAAGGCCATGGCTACTAAGTCAATACATATGGTCTCCATGACCCCTTGGGTCTGCCTGGATACCTTCAGGTGCTTCTGCACACGCTCATTCTTTTCTGCCTCAGTGGTACGTTCCTCTTCACTGCGATCCTTGGCCATGGCATCAGCTCGCAGTTCAGCACTGGCCTCTGCCCCATTCTCATCCTGCTCATCCTGCTCATTTTCAGCAGGCTCTGCCACATGAGGCGTGCTCATGGCAGTCTTCAGCTCTGCACGGGTCTTCTCCAAGTCTTCTTGTACCATCTGAGCCTGTTCAGTAACAGAGGAAGAGAAGGGATGGCAGCCAAACCAGGTTAACCTGCAGCATCCCTACATGTGCCTAGAATGGCCCAGAAGAAAGCAGGCACCAGGTAGTTCAAGCCACTTTGCCTGATTGATCCTGAGTTTCTTCAACTGTATAACAGGAGTAATTGTACCAAATTCCCTGGGGGTACTGGAGAATTCTGGGAAGTATTTGAGAGAGCCTTGAGTTCCTCCCATGATACACACTGTCAAAGAAGGATGGAAAAGTGAAGAAACCCAAACCTAAGGAATCTAAGAACTTAGGCATGATATCCCATCCCACACCACTTAGTCCTGGGCACTATGTCTTACCTTCTGCTGCCATTCCACAGCCTCGCTCTCCTTCTTTTGTCGGGCCATCTCCAGTTGGGAGATCCGAGCTGTCAGCTCTGCCATTTCCAAGGCCTATGGATCAATTGTAAGCTTATGAGAAGTGGGCCTTTCAGTCCCTAGGGCCCAAGTGTCTTCAACCCCAGATCCTCTGAGAACTAACAGGGAACTTCCTGTTTCACTTGCATGCTGCTCTGAAGACTCTTTTTACCACATCTCCTCCAGGAAGCCCAGAGGGAACACTCTCATTCTCAGATCTACTACAGCACCCTATTAACTCCCTGCCTAGACTAGACTACAAACTTGAAGGCAAACAACGTGTCACCTCTGGTTCTTCTTTATGTCACTCTCTCCCCTCTTTTCTCTCTCCCACTGCAGAGTTAGGACCTCAGTAAAGCTTTGGAAATCACTGCGTTACTGCCTGAACTGGCAGACCCTTTCCTGTTATCCTACAATGCTCAGGCCTCCACTAAGATCTCCTCAGGACAAGTACAGGAACAACACTCAAGTGTCACAGAGTTATGTGACCAAGGAAATAAGCTTATGCATACCCTCACATCTTGGACAAATCTCCTGGAGGACATTTTCCCCTGAAAATTAGGTTTTAGTTTCCTGTACTCCCACTCCAAACAGTACAGGATAAGAGCATATGTTAAGGAATTTGGGCCAGAGGTTCTTAAATTCTGAGTTACAGAACCCTTGGAAATTGTGATGAAAATACAGATGCTCACCCTCCTCCCCTATAAGTAATGTATAGACATACAACTTTACATATGATTTTAGGAAGCAAACCCTTAAAAGAGAAGCAGAAATGACTTCTCATTCTTAGTCACAATTGTGTGACCTATGCAAGTCTCTTCAACCTCCCTGAGCCCTAATTTCATTACCTGGGCATATTATCCCACATGAGTTAATCCCATAGGATTATTCGGAAGAGGAAATAAGAAAGTAAGGAAAAGTGAAAAGTTGCTCATATAGTTTGTAACACACATAGCTAGTCAATCAGATGTGAATCCCTTTACTTCTTTCCTCCCTCTCTACTTTGTCAGGTCATCAGCTCAAGTCCCCACTTGCTAAGAAAAGAATAAAAGTAAGGGTTAGGGAAGACTATTTGCAAAGGTAATTTTCAGCTTGCTTCTGAAGGAGCTATCTACTGGAAGCCTGCAGAGAGGTACTCTGCTAAAAAGAGCCAGATGTGCAAACAGAGGTAGCTGTGAATAGGTACATAGACAGAGAGAAAGTTCAGATCCCATAATCCCATTCCATTCTGTAGCTTTACCAATTGTTCCTGGGTCTTCTTCTGGTCCTGGGAGGCCTGCAACAGGGCCTCCTTGGCCTCTTCAGCTTCTTGACGCTCTTTGGCCAGTTTTTCAGCCTCACTCTGAGCACGTTTTCGCTCCTGTTCAAGTTCCAGAGCCCTGCGGGTCTGTTCTTCCAGTTCTGGGAAGAGAAGGAAGGGGAAAGATGGTAAAGAGTGCAGAGATTAAGAAGGGATACCTAACTTCCTTCCTGGAAATGCTTTACCCCAGGCACAGATGGCAAAAAGCTCTAGGCACTCTTCCTTTTGCCTCATCATTCCTCTATTCTTTTAGCCACATCTTGAATATATGTCCTGAGTCTACAGCTCAGACAGAAGGCTTTCCAGCTCACAGAGTCAGACTGTGGGAAAATCCAGTCTCCAAGATGACTCCAAGCCTCACCTTGTTGAGCCTTCTTAGTCTGTTCCTCGATTTGCTTCAGCTTCTCCATCAGTTCTTCCTTTTCCCGTTCAATCTTCTCTTTCTCCTTTTCTGCCATCTCACGTTTCTTCTTTTCATTTTCCAGCAGAGCACTAGAAAAGGAGAAAGAAGGAATGGAACAGTATAGCAAGGCCACATGGAAGCCTTGGGATCCCCAAGACCTTCTGGCCCTGATCCCTCAGTCCCCACCCATCTAACACACTCTGGGCTTGTGAGGCAAGATCACTCTCCCTTCTCCCTATATTCTTGTCCTCACATCATAGCCCCACATGGGCTGGTATGCTCAGAGCCCTGCCAGTTTGTCCCAGTATCTAGAGATCCAACCTGGACTCTCAGCTCATCCACTACCCAGTGAGTAACCAGAGGGTGACGTTAGCTGCATCATTTCTTTGCTCTTGTTCTTAGTAATCCTATGTGTAAGATGGCCAAATAAGTCTTGCCCTGTCTACCTTATGGAGTTACAGAGAAAAAAGTTTTGACTCTTTGCTGATACACTGTGCTTCAAGTCTGGTGATCTCTATGGCTAGGGCATTACTCCTCTGCCCTGTAAAGTTCAGCTTTAAACTCCTTTCTCTCAAAATTTGCTGTGAATCTAAAATAAGCATTGACTTTCTTGCCCCAGCACCTCTCCCAGTAGTCCTTTTCTCCCTTTGTTAGATGTCTTTTCTCTCAAAATAGTTGGCCCTATCCTCCATATCCCTCCACCCTGTTATTTTTCTCCATAGTACTTATCATGTCACAGACTATATAATATGCTTATTTGATCTGCCTGTCTCATCCCACAAGAATGACAGCTTCATGGGAGCAGAGCAAAGATTTTTGTCTTTTGTTCACTGCTCAATAAATATATATTGAGTGAATGAATGACACAGCATTGTGCCCTGAATAGTTATGCATATACTGTTTTTCCCCTTTCTTCTACTAGACTGTGAGCTCCTGGAGGGTAGGTTCCTGCCAAAACCAGTTCTGTAAACTGCCCCTCATACCACTTTTTTTTTTTCTTTTTCCGAATAAATGTGAACCTTGGTGTCTAACCCCTCATACATGGAGTCATTTTCCAGTCTACTAGATTAAAGATTCCTGAGATTCCAAACTCTTTACAATAGAGTATCTATTAGAGCAGTACTATCAAATCTTAACATGTACAGGAATCACCTGGGGTCTTATTTTTTTAATAAATTACTGAGGTGATAATCATATTAATAACATAAAATTAATCATTTAAAGCAAATAATTCAGTGGCATTTAATACATGCACAATATTTCATCATGCCAAAGTAAAACCTCATACCTGGTGTTAAGAAGTTTCTCCACATCTCCCTTCCCTCCAGCCCTTGACAATCATCAATCTGTCGTATGTCTCAGTAGGTTTATCTATTCTGTATATTTCATATAAATGGAATAATACAATATAGGACCTTTTGTGTCTGGTTTCTTTCACTTAGCATAATGTTTTAGAGATTCACCCACATTATAGTATGTATCAGTATTTTGTTCTTCTTAATGACTGAATAATATTTCGTTGGATAGCTGAATAATTTGTTTATCCATTCATTCAGTGATGGACATTTGGGCTGTTTTCACTTTTTGACTACTATGAATTTCACAGCTATGAACATGTGTGTGCATATACATGTTTGAACATCTGTTTTCAATTTTTGTTTTTCAGTGCATACCTAGGAGGGGAATTGTGGAGTTATGCAGTAATTCTACATTTAACTTTTTGAGGAACCATCAATTGTTTTCTACAGCAGTTGAACCATTTTACATTCCCAATAGTGAAGAACATGAGTTTAAATCTCTCCACACCCTTGCCAACAGCTGTTATTTTCTGTTTTCATTTATTATATCCCTATTTGTGAGTATGAAGTAGTACCTCACTGATGTTTCAATTTGCATTTCCCTAATAACTAAGGGTATTTTCATGTGCCTGCTGGCCATTTGCACATCTTCTTTGAAGAAATGGTTAACTAGGATCTTAAAAAGCAGATTTTGAATCAGCAGCACATTTGGGGTAGGTCTCAGATATTGCCTTCCTAAACAGTTTCAAGTTGATGCTGATGCTGCTAAGCCTTGATGCAATTTGAGTAGGAAAGGGGCCATAGTGCAAAAGGGCTTTGGAAGGAAAAATCTGGTAGCTCTAATTCCACTCAAAAGATCCTATAGAGTCCAGGTTTAAATGTGCATGGAGCCTTTTGCTACTACCACTATACTGGTCAGATAGCCCAGAGCAACCCAAAGTCCACTTAGAAGAGCAATGACATGAGGGTCATAGATAATGGGGAACTATAAAATGCCCCTCTCTCCTATGAACCTCTGAAATCCTAGGGTTCTAAATACCTGATTCCTGGGGATGAGGATGTCTGAGACTTAAAGGAAGAGGTGTCATCCCTGTACAGCTCCCTTTCCCCCAGTACCAGGATGACTTCATGTCCTGACTTTAGCAGGCTTGGCATCTTTGAAAAGCTTCCTTGTCATAGCCCCAGCCCCCATTTCAGTGCCACACCACCTACCGCTCCATCTGCTTCTGGTGCTTCTCCTCCCGAGCCTGTGCCTTCATCTGCTGTACTTCAATGGTGTCGGGCTTGCGACGGCGCATGTATAGCTCATGGTTCCCCATGCACAGAGCCAAGATCCGTTTGTTAATCCGCAGCCGAGGAGCATAGAAAACAAAGTCCTGGTAGAAAACCAGCAGTCAGAAAGAGTATGGAGGGAAAGATGAAGGTGGGCTTCTGCCTTGTGAAAAGCTAAGTTAAAAAGCACTGAAACAATCATATTACAGATGGGAAGACCAATTATCAGAGTGGTGAAGTGACTTGCCCAGGGTCAAATGGCAAGTTAGTGACAGACCCAGGTCTACTAGTGCTCTTCCTACCAAAACACAATTTCTTTCAACATTTGCTTATGAAAATCATCTTAAGATACCCTCAATCCAGTTGAAAGATAGAAACTGACTTCATCTGCTAATTAAATATCCTGCTGGGTCTCAGGAACCTCTCTTAGAGGTACAATAATCTTTAGATAATACCCTGGTGAGTGTAGTATGAGTGGGCTGGACTGGTTCTATATCTTCTAAAAGCGTATCTTAGAGCCAGTCCCTTCAATCCTATTTGGAATAAGGCAGTGTATTTATAAATACATACATGAATATGTAAGTCTCCTGAACATCAATTATCCTGGTTGTTGTGTTTTAAGTAAGCCCTTGGTCTCAGCTGACTTTGTTACTTACCTTTTTCTGATGAAAGCTGAGCACAACAGCAGTTAAAAACACACATACACACACAAGAAAACCCAGTGACCTGGAGTTTGTTACTACAAATACCACTGGACCAAGGTCACCAGCTAATGGGCTAACCACCAGCTCTTCTGCCACTGAACCCAAACTGCTACCATCTCATATAGCTTGGGGTACAATAGAAGGAGCACAGGCTCTAGAGGTCAAACAACCTAGGTATAAATCCCAGCTCTACCATTTTAGCTGTATGATCTTAGGCAAATCACTCCATCCCTCCGAAACTCAATTTCATCACTAATAAAACAGGAAGGACATTACCTACCTGACAATACCCTTGAGGGTTTAAGGAGACAACATATATAAAGTTCTTAGCAGGGAAAGTTCAGAAACCCCAAAGCTAGAAGAAGGTTGAGACCTCATGAGAAGGGTCTGGTTCAACATGGCCCACTGGCCCTTGCTGGACATGAGGCACATCAAAGAGGAGACTCTCATCACAGTTTTCTATCTTATTCCCAATCCCCAGTTTTTCAGTCTTGTCAGCCACAGGCAACTGTAGGTGACAGGTATGGCAATCATGTTAGAGGAATGACTGGACTCAAAGAATTCTTTTGTATTTGGATTGCTCTGGAGAGAAGTCTTAAGAGGATAACAGCAAAGTTATAACAAAAAGAACAACATTTGGATTGGGACTTCTTCTGCCTCTCTCCTTTCTCCACATATTAGAGATAAATCAAGTACATGAACAATTTCCACTTTTTAAGACTAGAGGCTTTAAAAGATAAGATGTACTCTGTTTCTACCCCAGAGCCTTGGGGAAGTAAAAAACAGTGGCTAACAAGCAGAACTTAGACTGCCTGTGGTTCTCCCTAATCCATGCTTCTCCTGAGACACAGTTAGCAGGGTAGCACCAGTTACAGGATGCCTCCTGACCATTTATTGGCATCAGCATCCTTTTTCATTGACACTTTTTGTGCCTCCTATTCCCATCCACATACACAAAAAGACAGAGAAAGGAGAGAAACATGCGATGACATGATTGCTTCTAGCATTATGTAGGCCTTGGCCAGTGTGACCATTATCTAGGTCTTGGCCAATGGGAGGAGTCACTTACCGGGGCTTTTTTGTCAATGGGCTTGATGACAAATTTCTTGTCATTGAAAGAGATGTTCCTGATTTCACTCCAGGGGAAGCCTATCTTAGGAGTCAGCCTGTAAAAATGAATACCAAGAGCATTAGGACAAATGCAAGGCAAGAAGGACATAGAGGGTTGGTGCCTTGCCTTCCCCATCACCAACTTCTCCCTTAAGGAGATAGATTCATTGCCAGCTCAGCCAGTGTCATCACATGCCACCAGGTCAGCTGCCAGCACTGAGAGTTCACAGAGGACTTTCTGATACTACAATCAACATATCCCTTGTCCCAACAACTAAGATTTGCTTTATTTTTTGCTGAGGCATGGACCTTGTAACAATCTCTCAAAGAATCGCCAGCCTTACTTCACTGGATCTCTTCTACTTAAGGTTGTAAAATCTGAGAGGACAGTAAATAATGAGTTCCAAGACTCAGAAGTTACACAAAACAATAATATATTGACCTTAATACTCATCAAGAGAAAACTAAGGGAAAAATAAGCTAGTGAGATAAGGCTGTAGCAAGAGGGATTATAGGTCAAAAAATACTGAATCATCATATGAAGTGAGATTAATTACAAATCCTGATAAGGTGGGTTTTAAACCAGTGCTATACAACAGAAATATAAATTATCACACATGCAATTTAAAATTTTCTAGTAGCCACATGTAAGTAAAAAGAAACAGGGTGGAATTAGCTATAACAACAGTTCACTTAACCCAGTATATGCAAAATACTATCATGTATTTTGAACATGTAAATGTTCATGAAGATGCAAATGAATATTTAATATACATTAATGAGACATTTTATATTGCTTTTCACACTAAGTCTTCAGTGTAGTTTATACTTGTAGCACATCTCAATTCAGACCAGCCACATTTCAAGTGCTCAACAGCTACATGTGGCCAGAAGCTACCACAGTGGACAGTGAAAGTCTAGTCAATGCAAGATTTAGAGGCCTGAGGGAGGTTGTGTGATCATCTGGGCTGGTCCAATCTAGGTAGGAAAAGAATGATACAGGTGGGACCCAGGAAGTATAATCATACTTTGTCAAGTCCTAGGTGTCAAAGTAGCCCAAAAAAGTAAGCAAGCTGAGCAATATCATATGATATCTTTTACAGGTGGAATCTAAAGAGAAATGATACAAATGAACTTACTTACAAAACAGAAACAGATTCACAGACTTAGAAAAGGAACTTATGGTTCTTAGAGGGGAAGGAGGGGGAGAGGGATAGTTAGGGAGTTTGGCATGGACATATACATGCTGCTATGTTTGAAATGGATAACCAACAAGGACCTACTGTATAGAATATGGAACTCTGCTCAATGTTATGTGGCATCCTGGATAGGAAAGGAGTTTGGGGGAGAATAAATATATGTATATATATGGCTGAGTCCCTTCACTGCTCACCTGAAAGTATCACAACACTGTTTGTTAATTGGGTATACCCTAATACAAAATAATAAGTTAAAAAGCGAGCTCTGAATTATACCTGTCATTCTGCTCATAGATGTTGAGACCCAGGGCATCCACCCCCAGCCACAGCTCTGAGCCTTTCTTGTTCTTGATGTTGAAGTAGTTCACACCATACATCTCCAGATCCTGGGCTATCTTCAGATACTCCAGGACAGCATCCTCCCTAAACAACAGAGTGGAGGTCAGTGGTAGGGGGAGGGCAGAAGCGGCAAGTAATAAAGGGGAGGGAGCCTATGAATCAGACCCAGGGAGACAGAAAGCCTACTTGCTCTCCACTTCTGACAAGAATCTTGCCATAATGGGTTGGAAAAAGGATGGAAAGTGAGCAGATGATGGTTAACACAGCAAAACATGACTTTTGCCAAAACATGCTCACAGGAGCCTAAGGTCTGAGATTCCCAAGGGGAATAAAGGTGGGCTGACTCTTGCTGACCTCTGGCATATTAGCTATCACAGAAGCCTCTTACACAGGCACATTATTAGCAGAGCCCAAATGAGATGGTGATGACAAAATGAAAAGATTAGTTCTTCAATTAGACATCTCCCAAATCATATGCAATGTTCATAAAGATCCTTCCTCATTTCATTCTTGGAGAGGGGCCCCTGGTGGCTCAGAACCTCCCTAGGGGAGGGAATCTCAGGGTCCCCTGATCTGGGCTATCAGCTCCCATCATCCACAAAAAGCACAGTTTTATAATGGTGCTGATTTGCCTTCCATTTCTAATTTCCTCTTGTAAACTGTATTTCTGTCTCTCTCCAACATCCTCCAGTGTTCCTAGCCTCTGCCTCTTCTTCCCCGCTGAACCAACTCTTATTATGTCCTTGCAAGGGCATAGAGTCCACAGTTCCTAGGGCAGGCTTACCTGAGCATGCCCCGGTGCTCCTCATGCCACACCTGGATCCTTTCCTCCCACTGGTCCTTGTTAAGCTTGTGCTGCTCCAGGACCCTGGGAAGATGATGTGGGGTCAGTTATACCAGAGCAGACTAAAATTACAGCAGGAAGTAGTAACTAGACACGGGGGCCTGAGGGATATAAGACATACAGAATGGGTGACCAAGAAAGACAATGGGAACACCTTCCTTTGTACCTTTAACCAGAAAATCTAATAATGTGCTGTGGTCACCAAGCAAAGCAGTAACATATTAACAGTCTGTGCTGATTTGTGAGACTAAGAGGAGGAATGGGCCTTATGGAGGCATGCATACTTTCTCCTAGATCTCTGTGGGGCCAATAGTTTGCATTTGTGAGACTACTGGTCAGGGATAAGATTATATAGCCTGTGGCTATGGAAGAGAGAACTGAGTCCAAATGGTTTAGGGAAAAAACAAACAGGTTCAACTGTTATTATCTGTAAAATGGGCCCAGTTGTAATTATATCATAACAATAACTACCAGATCTACTAGATCATAAACAAGGCTTGCTTTAAATATGCTATTTCAGACATTATAGCAGTGACTGACTCATGTAGAGTCCCAGGGCACAACCACTATCCCTAATACCTTCAGGTGAGCTGTACATTTGTCATAGCTCCACTGGGACTGAGGTTACTGGAATGAAGCATAATTTTCCTTCTAATTTAAAAGCCTATATAAAATAGTGACTGGATGCAGTGGGGTTAAAAAAAAATAAAGAGACTAGGGTTCCAGGTTGCCACAAATGAGCTGTGGGAGATTCAGCAGGTCAGAGTGAGTACCTCTGCATCTCTATTTCCTTAGCCAGGAAATAAGGATTATGCCTGCCTTATTCATTCTGTGTTGTCGCGATGCTAAAATAAAAATAATTACAGTTTGAGAATGTTCAGTTTTGAAGTTTACAAAAGGAGAAATCTCTGTATACTGGGTATCAATATTAAAAGACTGTTTTGAGCTCCCCATGTCCCTGATTTAAGTATTTCTCACTCCAATGAACTTCTGATATAAGAGGTCTAAATCAGTGAAAAGGATCAAGAAAATGGAACTAGGGCAAGGAGAAGCAATCCATCTCTGGTTCTCAATATAAGCACCTGCTTCCAGGGTAATGAAGTTCTGTAATAGGCAAACAGAGGAGGGGAAAAAAGTGTTTTATTTTGAGAACCAGAGAAATAAGAACAGAGTATGGTGCCATACGCAAGTATGTCTGTCTGAGCACCATAACATAGTCTTCAGACAGACCCTATTGGAGAGGGACAGATCTGGCAACCCCTGTATAACAGGAATCAATCAGCTTTGAGCCACAGCTCACTCTGACCAGGGCAGATCGCCAGGACACCACCTCACCTCTGTGGCAGCAACTTGTCCCCAGCCAAGTAGCCAGACTTGTGGACTTCCTTATTGAAGTCACCATACTTGGACTGGACAGCATAGGAGGCCAGCAACACAGCAGTCTCAGGTGGGCAGTAAATATCATCATTGAGAATGCCCTCCTTCACTTGCAGGAAGAATAGTCGCTGTGTGATGTCCTGGATCAACTCTTCAGATACATCCTCAGGGTAGAACTTGGCCCGGAACTTGAAAAGCAGAGGGCTTTCCTTCCGCACATCCTGGGCAGTCACCTAGGAGCAGCAAGGGGTTATGCACTCTCAAAAAATAGATTTTAGGGGTAGGGAAGTGGCTGTAGGGTGGGGAGAAGACACTGGAAAGTCATCAATTTGGATAATCCCAAAGAGTTGGGTAATAATTCTGGTAATTCAGAAAAGAGACATATTACTTTCATTGGGGACCCAAGCCCACATCCATAATTGCCTCCTATTGGGAATTTCTTCTTAAAATAACCTAACATCTACTGATAGTCATGAGCCCTTAAGCCATCATCAGACAATATATCCAACTGCCCCTACATTCTGAGGGTAGGTTTAAGAAACTCCTTGTTTAAGACTCTCCCCCACCTCCATAAATCAATAAAGTAAAGACTAGGATGTATGACTGAGGTCTGGGAATTGACTAGACAAGAGCACAGATCAGATTGTCTTTTGAAGCCTGAAATTGGCTACTAATGGCTCCACATTTTCCCAGCAAAAGTCTCCACTCTTTGGGAAAAGAAGACTCTGCCAGCAAAAGGTGGGGCACTCACCCCCTAGACACAATCGGGAAAATAAGCCATAGGACTGTATGGAGATCTCCAAGGACAAAGTCAGACAGTTTCAGGATGATGAGATGGAGAACTGCCATGTTCCTGCAGAGATGCTGCTGGGATGTGGAGAGTTTGAATGGACCTATACTTAAACCATCTTACTTGGGGTTCAACTGAGAAAATTAAGAAAGAAGGACACATCTTTATGGGGTGCAGGCATAAGTTGATAGGCAAGAAAATAGACAAAATAAGATTATGAGACTTTCAAGATTCTTTCCAATTCAACAGTCTGTGACTCTCTGTTTAACAAATTTCCTAAAGCCCTTGAGTTTGGAAAGGAAAAAAGGATACCAATCTCCTCTAGAAGAACTACTGATAGCTATGGTCCATAAGTGGGTCCCATCCTCCTTGGACACTGGCCATTATTGCTGTTACAAATCCAAATGGAGACAGAGCAAGAGCTCTGCCCTTATTCTGATCTACCGGTTGAGAGATCACCCAGTGAAAAATGGAGCTCTACATGCCCTAGATTTGCCAGCTTGCACATTTTACACTCCTGAGCAAAGTCTAGTAGAAGAGTGAATTCCAAATGTGGCAGTGGAGCAAGAAATTACCTTCTTGTTGAGTTTCAACCAAGTAGAGAAACCCTTAGTGTCCTGGTACTGCAGACCAAAAAACCAAACTTCCCTCAGGCCGATAGTTTTCACCACCTGAAAAGCAAAACAGAAAACAACCACTGATTGAATGCCTACCCTGTGCCAGGCACAGAGGAGACAAATGTGGAGCCCATGTGGTCCCTGAACTTAAAGGATATAAGGCACCCAGGTCTGGAAATAAAATACACTTGGGCAGTAGCTAAGAAATAATGTCAACATCTCTCTGCACCAAATACTTCTGCTGAGGTAGGGACTAGATCAATTATAAGCACTACCACACACCAATAACTTGATAACCATTATCTCCTTGAATTTTCACAATAGCCCTATGATATAATTACAACTGGGCCCATTTTACAGATAATAAAAGCAAGGTTCAGTTAGTGAGTAACAGAGTCAGGACTGTTTGACTCCAAACCCATTCAAATTCAGTGCCTTCTGCCACCACCATCCCACTCAGTTATGCCATGCAGCTCCATACTCCCAGGATAGAGTAAAGGCTGAAGGTAGAAACTGTTGGTTTAATTCCTGAATCTTGTTCTCCTGGACTCCTTCTTTTTGTTTAGCAACTAGCAATAATGCCCATACCCTTCAGGCTAAGTCCTACTTACAATGCCCAAAGAAAAAATGTACTGTGGTATCTATAGACCCCAAACCTGTGTTGTGCTTAGAGGCTAAGGTGCTTATTTTCAGCCCTGATTAGAGCTCAGTCATGATTCTCCTTTACCACTCACACAGGTTGACAGTGGGAATGAGTATAGTAGCTGAAGGGCCCCATGGTGTTCAGCTACCGGGCATTTTGGCTGAGCAGTGGGCAGGAAAGGAAAGACAGCCAGGAAAAGATAGACAGGGTCTGTTTTCCAGTCCCTGATATTAGCATGTAAATAGTTCTGGCTGGTGGCTCAACCCTAGCATGCCCACCACTGGGGATAGAGGTAATAAACCTATATCCTAATGAGGTCATGGTGGCGTCAGGGAGTCTTCTTTATATTTTTTTCTACTGGGGTGGGAGAGGGGATTTGAGGTGAAGAAATTTACCTGGAGTTAGAAACAGGTAGCAGAGACCCAGCATTGCTAATGTCTTTCCCTGTAGATGAATCATTATCTCCCCTTCAAAACACACATACATATTCATGCACAAACACACACTGCACTGTATCCACAAAGTTTCTACTATGCATCCAAGGCCAGGCCAGACCCATAGTCACTCCCAGAGCTTATAATCTAGAGCTTCAGAAGCCTCAAGGAAAAAGTAGATCATGTTTATTAAGTACCTATTATGTGCCAGGTACCAAACACTGAACAATCATGAGATAGTTATTATCTCCATTTTATAAATGAGGAAAATAAGGCTTAGAGAGCCATCTGTCTAAAACCATAGAGTCTAGACTAGAATCCTAATTATATGACTCTAAAACCTATACCCTTTTTCTATCTCCTAAGGCCAAGGGTTCAAAGGAGCTTAGAAGCTCTGGGGTTCCCAAGTGACTAACTGCCTTTTTGGCCCAGATATCCCAGCCAGACAATGAACTTTGACTACCTCTGCATCTACATATAGCTCCTGACTTTCCCACTAGGTTCAGTCAACAATCACTTTGGAGAGAAGCCATATTGCCAAGTCATTAACCTTCACTGCTCACCAGGGTGTTCATGATGATTACCCTCCCCTTTCATAGCTTGAATCAGGTATCAAGAAACCTGACTGGAAGTCTCAGGCAATACATTTCCTTCTCTGGGCCTCAGTTACCTCATCCATCCAGCTTCCCCATTTACTATGAGTGGTATGGCTTAAATGACTTCTTTATGCTCTCAAGTTTTACCAATCTACTAATTAGGTTATTTGTAAACGACCAAGAAATACAGCCCCATTTCCCACATACCTCTTGACAACTTGGGTAACTAGGAACATGCTTAGAAAAAAATTAATGAGGGAAGGTATACTATATGAGGAAAGATCAAGACTTCCAGGATTTGATGGAAAGGTGAGTCTCTGAGTCTAAGTCAATAGGCATTACCATCAGGTTTTAGATGGAGAATACAAAGTAGTCATATTGAAATGTGATAGTGACTTTTTGTTTTGCAGAGGATAAAGGGAGAGGTTATGGATAGGAAAGATTTTTTTAAGTGCCTCTTAAATCCTATATTTAAGATAGGGCCTAATTAAGGGTCTTCCACAAGGCTACAGAACATAGTGTGTACAGGTGCAATTGGTGTAAAGAAATAAGTTCCAAGAAACAATGCAGTCCCAGGATAGAAAAAGACCCACTGAAGATGTTGAAAATGGACCATTGGACCATTAGGACAGGATGCTAGGTCATGGCAGGGCAGACTGGGAACAGAACTAGTAGGGTAGCAACTGGCTTTTGCCTGTACCAACGGCCCAGGTGTAGAAACTCAAGAGACACCAGAATTAAAAGGAAGTGAGGCAGGCACAGTCTACACAGTCAGTTCCACAGGTCCCAGGGGTGAGTTCCTTAGCCTCTATTTACACCATGTTGTCTGCTTCACTAGTGGGATGATTAGGAGTATGATGAGAGGAGGGTCATGGGAGCTAAAATAATTCCAGGATCTAGAGTATCTCTGAGGATAAAGTAATAGCTAAAATGATATCCAAAAAAAAAAAGATATCAGGATCAGCAGGGCATTTTAATCTCTCTGAGCACTGCCTCTTCCCTATGAACACAAAGAAATCAGATGCATGTAAATGCTCTACTTCCTTAGACTGTAGGCTTGGAGAGAGAGAGATGTCTCTTAGCCTCCACTGAAGTACCAAAGTAAGGAAGTGAATGTGTTGGGCGAAGGAAATATGGTCTGAAGTCATAACTGAGACTTAAAAAGAACAAAGGATAAAACAGATGACTCGGGACCCCAGGCTGTAAGGAAATCTCCAGTTATGGTCCACAGGGTGCTGGGAATCATTTGACCAGGCAACTCTTGGCCCCATTTTCAAATCCTGAAATATGGAATGAGGCCAAGCTTAGCTTGCTTCAAGCTTTGCCTCCAGCTGAGAACTTACTTTAGAGGAAAGAGAAACCTCATTTTCTAGTGGGAAAGAGTATCTAGGTACTGGTTGCGGGAAAACATCTGTGGCTCCAATGAGCAGGTTCTTTACCATTCCACTTTGAGAAGTGGCTGCATCTCTAAGGAAAAAAAAAATTCTTTCTTTGCTCCCTTTGTTTTCAGACAGCAAGTTCATCTGGCCTGAGCTAGTATTTCTCAAAGCTGCCATAGAAGACATTTTTAAGCTACAGAAGATAATTAATGCATATCCCCAGGGGATGGGGGTGGGGTGGGGTTGGAAGTGTCAGAATACAAGGAGATGGCTGGCTGTAAGTCATAATTTCTTTGAAGCCTGAAGGTTAAATCTTAATCATTTGTGCAAAATTTACTGTTTACTCCTTAAATATCTATATTTTAATAATAAAATAGATATCTACAACTACAATTGATGCTCCAAGATACTAAAGCACATCTAGCCCACAGGTCTGTGAACCTCTTGGAAACTGGCACATTCACCTAGAGGGGGCTAGGACTTCAGTTTGCAAAACACTGGCTGTGGATGCTGTTCAGCCACATAATACTAACCCCCCAAACATACTGGAGCATTACAGGATCCAAGCAGCATAAACTAGAAAACTGGGGTCCAGTGAGGGAAAGAGACTTGCCTCTCAGAAAATTGTCACTAATTACCAGGAGCATTGTAAGTAAGAAAGAACTCCTGTTTGCCTCTTTTTGCATGTGAAGGCTATTTATATCTGAGATCTGGAGAGGGCAGAGGAGATTAGGCCAATTCCAGAACCCAAAGCCCCCTCCCCATATCCTCCATGCATCTATCTGAATAAACTAGTGATATAATCAATCACTTCAGAAACCAAGAGCAGGATTGGGAAGCAAGGCTTGAGCCTTAAGTGCATGGGAAATTTTGTGCAAAACTGCACCAATGCCCAAATACCCGAGGACATTATAGGCTTGGCAGCAGCTGTATCAATCACCTACCTGAAAGCAATCAGTGCACAACTGGAAAGTTCCAGGAGGGGCTGTCACCATCTCTGCTTCTGTTACCCTACACTGACTGTGCCCAAGTGGCCACCTACTCTATAACACAGAGCACATTCATCTAGGGTTCTAAGTATAGGGACCAAACTTTGCTTTTAGAATGGAAACAGGCAAAGAAAGGGGAAGTCACAGAGGACACAGCTGATATAAGGTACTGGGAAAATTGCAAATGCTATGTGCCTTGATTCAAACCACTATACTATGTTCTAGCTATCTGACCTTAAACAAGTCTTTTCCTCTGTCTAAGCCTCAGTTCCTCATCTATAAGATGGAGATAGAACTATTACAATAACAGATATTAGGTATTTTATAAAATAAAAATGGAAAAAGGAGAAGGATTGCTGTCTTCAATGCAGAGTCTACAAATCCTAAGAACTTCACTGAGCCAGAAAAGCCTCTTGATTTCATGGCTCCATTATCTCAACTCCCAGGGGAAATTCCACCCACTTATTTAGCTCTTAATAAGAACAAGCAACATTAGAATGCCTGCTATGCACCAGGCACTTTATTTATTCAAGGATTAAATGAGACTACAAAATCTCTAAAATTGTGTGATTACTATTTTACTGAGAAAAGTAAATTCCTAAGAGGCTAAATGAGCCATCCAAGGTCACACGGCTAAACAGACAGAGAATTTGAACCTAAGGCTGACTCTAAATCCCATGCTTTATATACCACCTCTATGTACAACTTGAGTCTCAAGGATGTTTTTTCATTCAACGTGAGAGGAGAGTTGCATGTATTTTTCTCTGTTTCCAAAGGTGAGTAACTCCAAGTTCCTTAAGGACAGAGATGGTGTCTGATAGGTCTAGAGATCCTTCTCAAGACACAGTAGACCTTCAGTCAATACTGAATCAGTCAATGAATAGATGAATGGATGGATGGATGGATGCTCTGAGATTTCACCTCTTTTCCACAGCTCAAAACCTTAAGTGGAGGGCACAGAAGGTAGAGCGAGACTAGAGCTAGAGCTTAGAGACCATGGCTGAGGAGGAGACAAGCAGAGGGTTCTTAAAGTGGAACTTATGGCACCTAAGTAATCACAAGCCCTTGGAAGAACCTCAGGTTTTAGAAGTGGGGCGAAGTGACAAAAATTGCTATAGAAAAATGGTCTCTCTCTCCTCCCTAGCTGTTCTCACTCCTCCACACTCACAAGAGACAAAGGCAAGTGGGAAGAACTATGGGCCCCATTTCCCTTTCCCACCATGCCTTGGGCCTCTTCAAGCTATGGAGTCCCATTGTTGCCTGTTATTTATCACTGGTACCAAGGAGGGTGCTTCCTCTCCAGTCAGCTTCCTCTCTGGTCATCAGCCAGACTGGATTCCAGGATGGCCCCAAAGTTTTTGTCAGTCCTTCCCAAGGAGTCCAGCTCCTTCCTCCTAGGTCCCTGATCTCCCTGAAAGAAGGTCAAACATAATGGACTTCCTCCCTTATGTCTCATCAAGTTGAAGAGAGGGAAAAGATCACACACCCCAGTGGCCTGTGAACATGCACTGGTCTGAGGATTCCCATCCAGACTTGTCTTGGCCCTGAGAGTGCCAGATGTTCAATTCTGTGTCAGAGTTCAAATCTTTTTGTCCTGTACTTTTCACCTATGGGGTCCCAGCTCTGTTCCTTCTGACATCACAGAACATTATTGCCTCTTCCTTCCAATGATAGCCCCTCAGTGACCTCAAGACGGTGAATACATATCCTCTTGAGTCTTCTCTGAGCCAAACAGGCTCATTCACCCCAGAGTAGCACAGTAGGGAAAAGTATTATTTTATTTACTGTCAGAGCTATAATTTAAACTCCATATCACAATTTACTAACTATATAACCTAGAGTGTGTTCTTTTACTTCTTATAGGCAGGGTCACTGCAAGGTTTAAAACACCGAGCTAAAGTTAGTCCATAGTAGTAGGCACTCACTAAATGATTTTTCTCAAAATACTGATCTTCCTGGTTGGGAAATTATGAACTTTGCGGTTTCCTCCTTTTCCTCTCTCCAACCATATGAAAGATTCAAGTTTCTCAAGGGCTTTTCTGGGGAAGCAGCAGCTTTCAGAACTAGCACACCAATCCAGCCAAGGATCCCTACCATATGGGCTTCCCTCAGAACCACATCCACAGTACAGAAACCAAACAAACACTAACAAAGAATTACCTGGCCTTGTGGTTTTTGAAGTTAATAAACTTCTTTGTTCAAGGATTTTTCTGCCCTACTCTCTAAATTATACCTTCCTCACCCTCCACAGTTACCCCATCCAATGCAAATGGACAAAGCCCCCAGTGTTGAAGGCAGGGGATAGTGTCATTTACTTGAGAGAGATTAAGCATAGAACCAGAGCTCTGGGAATGAGTCTGGGCAGAGATCAAGGGAACCTCTGGTTCCCAGCTGGACTATAAAATTCACATTGGCTCATACTCTCCTCTCTACAGCTGCTGCCCAGAATGATATTGCTGTCTAAAGAAAAGGGCCCAACAGCCTACATATGGAATGGACATCTTCTCCTTTTTGTCCCAGGGACAGTAAGAAGCCTATACAGGAAGAGTTGTCCCTGCTGTCAGGTAGCTCTGCCCTCCCCACTCCCTGGTATATGCCAACTGCAAATTATACTCAAGTGAAGCATTTCCCTCCTTTTTACAGAAAGGGGTCATCCAAAATCCAAATAGTGGGGTTAGAAATGGGAAAGAACAAATATGGAGTACAGAAATAAGTGCGATAAATTTCTGAGAGATAACCAGATTTGAGGTATCAGTTAGACACTGTAAAGATGGGGAAACTGAGGCCCAAAGAGGGTAAAGGTTTGTGTAAAGTATCAGGAGAGTCAGTGGTAGAGTCAGCCATAAGGCCCAAAATTTCTAACTTTCTATCTAGTGCCCTTTCTAGTTTACTAGGCTATCCCTTTATAGGCTTTCCAACATAAAACCTGCATGCAAAGGAAGAAGGCAAAACCTTAATGTAATCAAAATGCAATGTCACATTCAAGATTAGCATTGTAATCACTTGTGAACTATATGAATGCTAGCACATTAATTGTAGTAAATGTGTGTTTAAATGTTCCTCTAATTTGTACTTTCTCAAATTAAATATCAATGACTACCTTTCAACATTTGATACAAAACAAACTCCAGAGAAGAAGCAAGTTCCAGCTAAATCCAAAGTTACATACGCTGAGGATCTTCAAGCCGATCTCTCAACTCTATCTGATTAATGAGACAAGAAGTGTCATGGTGTTTGAGAGCTATCATTTTTACATCTCTACTATATGCCAGATACTTCACATAACACTCAATTCTCTATATGCACTACATATCCTTTTGAATTTTACATATCCTTACAAGCCACTGGGTACCATGTGAGATACAAATAATAGACCCTATCATAATCTCACAAAAAGCCTGTGAGGTAGACATTAGATGCACTTTGGGGGCGGGGGCAGTGGCGGGGGGGAAATGAGACTACTAACCCAAAACCATTCAATAATTTTCCCAAGGCCTAGCTAAGAATATGAAGATTTTTGTTTCCTCATCTGTAAAATGGGGCCAATACTAATCCCCACACTCATAGGGCCTTGTGATACTCAAGTGATATTGTATACAAAATGCCTGACATAGTACCTGACATACAGTAAGCCCTGGACAAAATGTTAACTTTCATCTATATTAGCCATAGACAGCAATTTTCCTACTCTACCACATGACATCAAGGAGACAGCCCAAACTGTCTCACATTTCTAGCCATACTTTCCTTCTTTTTACATAGAGATCTGAATGGAAAACAGCCCTGTACCATCCCCATCTCCATCCTCTCCCCTCACCAGTCAGAAGTATTCATAGTAATAGAATGGTCTTATCTGAATATAATCTCTTCCCTCCTTTCCCTTTCCAAGTATGGATAAGCTCTCAGACAGCAGAAGTACACAGAGAGCAAAGGAGAAAGGGAAGCAGGAGGGTATGGAAAATCCATTAAGGGGACGTGTGGTCCCAACGTCCAGGACAATGGCAGACTCTCACCTTACCAGAGGCTGGTGTGGAAATAGGAAAATGGCCTGTCTGGAGGGATTCCAGTCTCTGAAAATGAGAGCCCGATTTTTACTCCTGGAAGTCTGGTCACAGAAGGCACGTTCCTTTGGCCCCTGGAGAGCCTTTGAATGCTGACAGATCCTATGGCGCCCACCTGGCTGCTATATAGCACATCCTTTCTGACAATGGTGATTCACAATGAAGGGACATTCTTTGGATTGTAGATGGGGATGACTACTTCAGAATTATCTCCATGTCAGGATTATAGGAGCTGAGGTATCCTCTTATTGCATTCCTCACCCACTGTGCTATCTTAAGTCCCAATATTCCTTGAAGGAAATGTACATAGAGAACACTACTACAGGGAGAATATGTTGCTTTCCTTCTCCTGGGAAGAAAAACCAAGTGACAGAGGCCACTTTGTATAGTGACAAGAATGTGGGGTTCAAATTCCAGCCAGATACCAGCTGAGTGCAATAAAATTATTTAATTTCTGAGCCTCATCATTAAAACAGAGAAGAGATCACTTATATCTTTTAGAGTTGAGAGAAGGGCTCTGCTTGCTGACATTTTTAAAGTATCTAGCAAAGTCATACCCCACTTGCTTCTCTTTTCTCCCATGTTTAGCCCCAAGGATAGGACTGATCAGGGCCATCCAAGATATAGGCTGCCAGAGTTAAAATTTGCCTACTTCATTAAGGCTGAGGTCAGCCTTTGTTTTGACCTCTCCTGGAAGAGTGAGTAGGAGGAGATTCCTCAAAGGTGGGCATTATAGTGGAAGCTATTGGGAGAAGTGGGAGGCTAAGAAGCAATAAGTCCTCCTTTACCTGGTCAAACAGCTGCTTGCCAGTGGTGTTGGGCTGGATGGCAAACTCCAGCTCAGCGTCCATGGTGGTCACACGCACATTGATCTAGGATGAGATCAAAGGAAATAAGTTAGTTGTTTGGCTTGATGCTCAACAGAGCCTGGGATAAGTCTCTGTCCATCTAGAGGAACTAAGGTGCAGGAAGCTATGGAACTTAGATATTGGTGTGAAGGAAGGGAGACCATTGAAACAAACAGTAACCTAGCCCTCTGCTCCCAACCAGTTTACTGAAGACAACCTCCCCCCCCCCCCAACAACTACAAGGCAGTGCTTATAAAGGGGCAAACAAATGAATGCAAATAAACCTACTATCAAAAGGAAACAAATGTTGGCTATACTTCCAGGAAGTCTTCTCCACCTACATCAGCCAGTTCCAAGCCCACAGCATTCTCTCCCCACCTCTGATCTATAGCTTGGATTATCTACAGCACTGGTCTTCATAGAGGCAAGTTAAGGGCAGGATGATGAACACTGGATTCCAAACCTAGCGCCATAACTAGCTTACTCTACAACCTTGAATAAATCTATCCCGTTATCCCGTTCCTGAGCCTTAGTCCCCTTCACCTGTGCAAGGGCAGGAGTGAGGGAGATGGAGTTTGTCAATTATACTAGGCAATCTCCAACAGCCGTTTCAGTGATGATGTCTATGGTTCTATATACTTGCATCGTTAACACTTCCTGTATTTATGTCTCATTGGTCTCTCAAGGCACAAGAGAGGAAAGGGCCCTCAACAGAGATAGGTGTGAGCAGGACAGAGGTGCTACCAAAGCCAAGTAAGCAGAGGGAAAAGGGAAAGGGATAGGCCCAGATGGAAACACATAGTATTTCGTAGGTACTAGAAAAATTACCCTCTACTCTTAGGAATATATAACCTAGCCAAAGTCAATGATAGCTGATATTTCATCAGTAGAGATAGGATTCTTTGGCTGAAAAGTTGGTAGCAGTGGTAATAGTTTTAACAGCATCATTAAGCAGCAGCTTTCATGTATGAAGACTTACTACTCACTAGGCACTTTATATGTACTATCCCAATAATCATAATCATCCTGTGAAGCAGGATTATCTCCACCTTGGGCATGAAGACTTAGATATTTGTCTAAAGTTACATTGCTAGTAAGTGAGGAAGACAGGGTTTGAATTCAGATCTAAGTCCAAGTCTCACAATTTAAGCCAACATGTCAAACCTCTCTTACATCAAAGTGTAAAATGTCTCTATTAAAAGAAACCAAAGATTACTTTTTTTATTTATTTTTTTTTAACTGAAGGATAATTGCTTTACAGAATTTTGTTGTTTTCTGTCAAACCTCAACATGAATCAGCCATAGGTATACATATATCCCCTCCCTTTCAAACCTCCAAAGATTAAGTTTTTTAGTTGTTGGACATTTTGCTTAGGTAACCTATATGATATAGCCACATGATGGCTTGTTACATGGTCAAATAAAATATTCATAATGACTATTTCATGTCCACATAAAACATTAATATTAAGAAAGAGTAAGCAACAAGATTTCATGAGCTCAATTTTGTAAAAAGTATTCAAAGAGAGGTTATTGGAACCATACCCAAGTGTTAGTTAGTCTTGGTTTTTGGGTAGTGATCTTATGAATGCATTCTCCCTTCTTTAAATTAAAAAGAAAACTAATCTACATTTCTAGGATGCTCACATATTACTTATTATATTCGGGGGGAGTGGGGGGATAAAAGTAGAATTGTCAAAGATACAAATCCCCATGGAGTAGCTAAAACATTAAGCCTTATCAGTCTTTAATACCTATGGGCTTTTCCTGAGCATAGGGGTCAGTTAGTGGGGAAGAGGGGGCCAGACAGCAATTTTGCCAGCTAAACAATTCTGATGAGGACCAGGCCTGGGGAACAATTTTGTAAATAAATCTCACCAGGGAGCCAAGGAGGAAATCTATTTCAGGATTGACAATGGGACAGGAAAGGCCATGAAGGCAGGAACAAGTAAGGCAAGTACCCCAGTGGGAGACAGCAGGCAAGATTAGCCATTGTGACTCAGTGTTACCTAGGCTCCCTGACAATCCAGGGACCTCCATAGAATAGACCCTCATAAGGTAGGGAGAATGAGGCCCAATGGACTAGAATTTGGCTTCAGTTCAGTTCAGTCAGTCAGTTGTGTCCAACTCTTTGCAACCCCATAAACCGCAGCACGCCAAGCCTCCCTGTCCATCACCAACTCCCGGAGTCTACCCAAACCCATGTCCATCGAGTCGGTGATGCCATCTAACCATCTCATCCTCTGTCATCCCCTTCTCCTCCTGCCTTCAATCTTTCCCAACATCAGGGTCTTTTCAAATGAGTTAGCTCTTCGCATCAGGTGGCCAAAATATTGGAGTTTAAGCCTCAACATCAGTCCTTCCAATGAACACCCAGGATTGATTTCCTTTAGGATGGACTGGTTGGATCTCCTTGCAGTCCAAGGGACTCTCAAGAGTCTTCTCCAACACCACAGTTCAAAAGCATTAATTCTTCTGCGCTCAGCTTTCTTTATAGTCCAACTCTCACATCCATACATCCACACTCTCACATCCATATTGGCTTCAATATCTAGCCTTAAATCACACTTGAGCTGAGTTAGGGGAGCCCTCAAAACACCAATGACTTGGCAGATAAGAAGAAGACAAGGGACAATAGCCCTTTTAGTATACTGAGAAATTTCATTTTCACTTTGAGGCTTCTGTCTTAATGAGTTACCTCTCTAGTATCTAAGACTCAGTGGGTACTCACAAGATATTGGCTAAATGAACAGTACTAAGCAAGGAGATACAAGAGATAGATATAGCATAGTATACAGACTCAGAGGTGGGAACATTTTACATCTTGACTTTTTTGTGCCACGGACCTTTCTGAGCAGTATGGTGAGGTCTATGGATTGCCCTCTCAGAAATTTGTAAATGCATGAAATAAAGTAGATACAAAGAGACCAATTATATTGAAATAGTTATCAAAATTTAATATGTACTTCTTCACTATTATATTATATAATTACCTAACATTGGGTCTTATTAGTTATTACTACTGTAATTTCAACTTTGTTTTCAGCATAAATGGTATTCTGAAAAATCTATAGTAACTAAACTGTAATGTAAAAGTATCTTAGATTTCCAATGGTGACAAAGTCACAGGTACTGCCTTTTTTTGGCCTAAATTCATAACTGAAAGAAGGGTTAAATTTTAGTGAGAAGTCACTGAAAACAAATATGTAAATTTTCCTCCATCCATCTTCATAGATCCTTCCCACTTCAAATTACACCCGTGGATTTCATGGAGGCCCAAGGACTCAAGGTTAAGGAGCTTTCTATAAATTTATTTCAGTTTACCCAATATTAATGGAATACTATGTTTAGGGAACTATGGTTGCAGTAGAGCTGTAGAGCCAGTACCCCAAGGTACTTACTTAATAACAGGAAAATTATAACATACAAGGGAAACCCTGAGAAGTACCATACCAGAACAGAAGAAACTTTTTTTTGTGGAAATACAGAATCACAGTTCAAAGTGGTATTTGCAGGGTCTCTAAAGATAAGGATTTTGAAAAATGGAGTATATGGGAGTTTGGGGGAAGAGCACCCAAATGTCCCAGGTAAAGGAAGAGACACAATGCAATGGCCCAAAAGGAGACAGAGATGCAAGGATGCAGAGTTCCTCCAGGGTAAATGAGGCCTGCAAGGTGAAGAGTGGGCAAAGAGAACAGGAAGGTAGGCAGAAAGGAGTCATACCAATCTACCATCTTCAGGGGCTGGCCCATAACTCCAAATATTTAACTGAAATATTTGTTTATAAATGTTTCTTAAATAAATCAACTGGTAGAAAAGAATTCAGTCTGGGTTAGGAATAAGTATGTCAAAGAGGCTAGAACTGTTCATGCTTCCTGTATCATATACAGAGCATTGCCCCAGAACAAGAAAGAGCTCTCCTTCAATCTGAAGCTGTCCAGCTGAAACTAAACTGGAACCTATGTCCCCAGAATCCCTGCTCAGAGTTTCTGTCATTCCACTGTGGCTGCATCTCAAGGGAAAGCAGCCTGTGGTTCCCTGAACTTCACTGTGGAGACAAATAATCTTAGGTTTAAAAAATTAGGAAGAAAAGTAAACACAACACAAAGGGACTTCTATTCTTTCCACCACTCAACTCAGAATAAAATGTGAGTCTTGAAGACAGGGTCATGGGTCTGTGTTCTTTTGATTTTCAGTGTGTTGGCGGTAGGGGTAGCAAGGATAATAGCATGACCAAGGCTGAAGATGATAGGTATAGGGCAGGAGTGGTGATCAAAGAAAATCTCTCATTTTCCTTAACAGTAATCTGGAATCCAAATGTGTACAAGGAGCCACAGGCCCAGATCCACTGCCACACAGGATGCTCACCCAAGTGGGCACCCACTGCCTTCCTTTTGGGCCTGGCCTCTTCAATGTCAGTGAAGAGATGAGGGTAGTCTAGTTTGAAAGGCAAAAACCTGAAAATAAAGCCTCCAAAGTCAGCAGAAAGTTCCCAGGCAGCCCCACAGCTCAGCGGGAACGAAGGAGCTGGCCTGGGTAAAATAGCATTTCAAGATGTGGTCCCCAGCAAAGAACTAAAGCCCTGTCTAAGCCTGTCCTTGAAAAACATGTCTCTAGAAAACATTTAGGGTTTAAGGAACAAAAAGAGTTTGGATGTGGTGGGTGGGGGGGTGTCACTCATATACAGTAGCCCATCCATCCCTAGCCCAAGAACAACAAATCCACTGTTATTTATTGAAAAATGGAATACAGACAATTCCCAAGCAAGCCCTTCATTGGTCTATAGCCCATCTCAGTAGTCTGTCATCCAAAGCCCTCAACAAACTGGATCTCTCCTGTGTCCCCAGTTGGCTGGCCTAAAAAAGAAAATAACTACCTACCTCTGCCTTGACAGCAACAGCTGGGGAACTTTGCCTTCTAGACCTGGCCAACTTCAAATAAGGGACTCTCTCATTTCCTAGGGCCAAGAGTACCCAGATGAGCAGTAGCTGGGCCACAGAGAGGAGATAGGGGCAAAGTTTCCT